TCTCAGGTACAATACTTGGCGCGTACAATGTTGCTTCATTTGAAGGGCGCCTAGGCTCTGATTACCATGCTTGCGGATAGTAGACATTACCTTTACGCTTCATCTCTTTGATTAATCCTGCGTGCCCTGAGCATACTATGCCCTTTTATCTCTGGCCGCCGGCTGAATTTATGTGACGGTTGTGATTATTCGCTTTCCTAGTCATGTGATAATCAGGCCCTCATTATATATATATATATATATCGTAATCAAGCACTTTTATGAGAAATTAAATTCACCACAACTGTATGGCTTTAAATATAACTCATGCCCTATTATGAAATTATTCGTCATTATTTTTATTACTCATTTTTCATTCATTCTGCAATCTTATCTACAAAACATCGCGTAACCAAGAGAACGCCCTCAAGACAAAGTTATTGAGCTAGAATACAGAAAAGATTTGATAATAAAGCTCACAGACGAATACCAACAAATTCAAAAGCAGCATCGTGAGATTATCCTCTCTATTATGGAAGAGCAGCTGGATCGGAACCGCGAGCAGCACGAACTTGAGCGCCGCATCGAGGAGTTGCGTAGAGAGTTGAGAGTTCGCGGTCTTCATGATGATGAGATCAGCCGGAAACTCGGCTTGCCACAAACAGGTATGAGAATATATAGAATAATTGTTTTTCGGCGAACCCTTTCGTAGATTGATTTTGGGATACTATTTATTTCGTTTGAAAAGGAAGAGGCTCATAAGTTGGTCTCTCTGGAAGCTGTATGAGGAATGCCTTGGAGCTGTTACCATAGATTTGTGCAAATAAATCCTCGGATAACAGTCCCGCGACCCTAATGAATCCTTGTTGAGCTTTCATCGGACATTGTCAGAGCAGGACACCATACTTTAAGATGATACACCAAATCCTGTCATGACAATGTTCATCATATGGCAGAAGAAATCTCAGCAAGGATTCATCGGGGTCGCACAGCGATGCGCTGAGGACCTATTCGCACAAATCTGCAACCACTGCTCTAAAGCAATCTCCCTACGACTTCCGGTAAGACCATCTTACGAATCCCTAACACTCGCTTCTTCAAACGAATTGAAACGTACTCCAACATCAAAATCACTGTCTGACTGAAATCTGATTGCCTTAGAGTCTTCAATCTCCGTCCTTGATTATGCCATATTCGAGGTTTTATAGCAGGTTGATCCTATTTCAATATCCATCCTCACGCAATTGCCTGGGAATATTCTTCCTCTTAGGCCTTCAACATATGACTCGGTTATCTTATTTTTCATCCCTACTCACATTCTTTGGGGCCCTGTGTCTGGCTTAAGTCTTAACCTCTGATTTAAAAATGCATAACTTCCCTTTTTCCTATCGCGAATCGCGAAAAATATGCTCCTCTTGTCTCTCAAGTTTACACTCCCATCCAATCCTAGGGTACCAGGATGTCCATTTGTGTGTTGTGTGGAATGCTTATTTGGTCAATTATGTCACCAATCTTCTCTCATTAAGGCATGCATGAAAAATACACACACGCCGGTGGCTTATATCTGGCTCACCTATTCCTTTAGTATTTAATTTTTTATCCCACTTCTCACAGGTGGCTGCCTTCGGATAAATTTTTGACCGATTCCAGA